CATCGTTTCCTAACTGCTCTTTTTCCCTGCTATTATCTCCACAAGACTGAAAATTCTACAGAGCTGCAGGTGATTTTTAACAGAAGTAAGAAATGGATACAATGGATAATTTTAACCAAGAGAGTCCTCAGCATAAAGGAAAAGTCACCTGCAGAGTGAATGTATCCACATTCTAATGATGCTTTCTCTATTTGAGTACTCTGTCCTGTTCTGTTTTGAAGGATGTCGTTATTCTCCTGTACTTAATTTAATTTACCATTTCTGAACTAGCTGCCAGATTTCCAGATCCCCCAAATTATCCTCTTAACATCTGCCTTTTTCTTCCTTTATATCAGTGCAGATAAGATTAACATCTTTCTCTGGTGCAGATCCTTGTTTCCCCCCTGTTTCTAACAGCTTGGTAAGCAGCTTTGCACCATCCTGTTTCACATTTGTATTGGATGCCAAGTCCCTTTCTCCTGATTATCTCAGCTGGAATGCCAGAGGGTTGGGGGGAAGGGAAGGGCTTAGCATTTATATCCTGCAAAGGAAATAATCTGTTATTCAGAATTATAAAGTGGTGTTCTGTAGTCAAAAGTGTATGCAGAGCTGTATTTTATTGTCTTACCCTCTGACCTTGGAAATACCACTGGGGTGGGGAGGCTGAGAAGATAGTTAGTACCAAAGGGTTCTGTGTGGGTGTTTAATATTCATATTTGTGTCTGATTTGAGAAAAGATTTGGTTTGGATAAGAACTGATTTTAACAAGATGCTTATCTCCAATTCTTTCTTTCCCCTCATTCTCAAACTAAATACGGCCAAAAATCTGTAGGTCTAGTTCCCACAAAGCTAAAAATGCTAAAATCTCTTATGTGGGTGAATTACACTACCATGAAATTTTACCTATGTTTAAGAAACTCACCCAAATGTCCAAGGGTCAAGAAGTATCTTGGACTTCATTGAAAACAAATATGTAATGTAATTTGGAAAAGAGACTTTCCATCTTATGCCAGTAATTAGACATATATAGTTCCTATAAACATCTAGCCTATTAGTTCCCAGGGTGAGAATGAATGGATTTCCAAGCCTTCATATATTTCAGCACTCAAATCTAGTTGTAGGTAGTGGTGATTCTAATGGTTCTAGATCATGACACTTATCTTCACAAGCATTAAGTTTGCTTTCTCTTGTTCCAGAAATACAAAATGGTATAACCCATCACAAGAAGATCATACATTCCACTCCAAATCAAGATAATCATTTCAATCATGCCCCCAATACACAACAGAATGGTAAGGAGTGTAATAGGCAGCATGTTGTTGTGTGTTATCTTTGCAGCTTAATGGGCTAGAGCTAGTGATATTATTTGGGTTATAGTGGGCACATCGACACATTCATTAATATGCAGTAGTTGCTGCACATTTAGTTTAGTACTTACTAAAGTACTAACTAAATGCACAGTAACTACAATTACTGCACAGTAGTACCAGTGAATGTTGTTTTTTTGTGATGCTTACTGTGCAGTAGCCTAATAACACTGCACAGTAGAGTATTAGCATGGTTTTTGTCTGGTATGTTACTGCACAGTGTTATTAGGCGTAGTAAGTGTATCGTGTACACACACCGAGTTTTTACTTAGGCTTACTGAATAAGATGCCTAAAGCTATTATTTTATCTTTTGATCTTCAGTAAAAATTAAAAAGATGTTTCAGAGTTTTCACTTTTAGCTAGCTCAGAATGCCATTTGTTGCGCAAGTCCAAATAGCTCAATTTTTCTTGTACTTGTGACAGCAAATTTGGGAAACAGATCTAGAGAATACTCGTTTCCCTCTCTATGGAACAATGATGCTATTTTTTGGACTTACTGCTAAAAAAGGAAAACAAAGTAGAAGAGTTGTGCTAGCATTTTAAGTGAGTTTCAGAATTATGCTCTAGAGGACATGAATGGCTGGAATTAATATCTCTTTAAATATTTAAAAGTTTAGAGGCAAGATAACCACACTGAGCTAAGAAACACGTTCCATCAGTGACTCTGTGGAATTGTTCAGAAATCCATTCTTGCAGATATTGAACAACTTGTTCTACATGGAACTAACAAGGCTAAAATAAAGTGTGGATAATCAACCAGTTATGTAAGTTGAAAAAATGAAGTATCATCCTTAAACTGTAATTCACATCATCGCAGTTTCCACTTACTTTTTCAGCAAGTACATTCCATATGTACTAAGAAGTCATATTGTTATAAATTGTCTTCAAGATATGAATGTATTTCCTACCAAAAGTAACAACTGATATTTTCTTAAAGGTGGAAAGAATTAGATATCCAGTTCCCAATGAAAATCAAGGGAATGCCCCCCCCACCCTTCCTTTGGCCCTAAAAGTGTGGTGAATAACCCCATATGGTTAACAAATTGTTTAAGAAATATTCAAACAACACATTTTTAGTAGGCCATGGTTTATGATAGTCATTTCCCCTGCAATAGAATAAATTTTGGACTTGATTATCCTAAGAGTTACATGAATGCATTTCTCAGCAGCTTCAGCATCCAGTTGTTGGAATAATTATGTCTGGGCATATCTACACATGCATTTGATATGGGATCAGTGTACTCATGAGTAAACTACTCACAAGTAAATGCTGCCAGGCAGGCATGTACACATGCAGGGAAGTGGGAGTAGATTTGCTGCGAGTGGCAAAAAACTTTTCCCACTTCCTGGGGCCCTGCAATAGACTCCTACTTCTACCAGGGGGAGCTCTAGGCTCACCCTGGATGTTAGTCCAGTGGCTGGCAGGGAGCAGTGGGCCAGGAGACAGTTATATCCTGGCCAGGGCTGGGACATTATACCCAGCTTAATTGAGCTCTTCAGAGCTCCTCAGCCAGTTGGCCACTGGCTTGTCGCTATTGCAGCTGTCCCATCCTCTTTCTCAGGTCTTGGGACCCAGCAACTCCCTCTGCAGCTCCTTA